TATTCAGGCATTATCCATCAGTTCGAGATATCGTAGCATGCGCGGAGATATATGCGGCATGCGTGGCCAAGGGATTAGACAGATCAACAGCTATTTACGAGGCCATATCTTCCGTGTTTTTGGATGCTCTTGGAGGTCTTCCTGTACGGATGAGCGTCGATATTGAAATGTTACGCAGTGATGCAAAGGAATTAGTCAGTTTTCAGTATTTTCCACAAATTTATCCACCTTTCACCTATTTATTAACAGCTTTTCATATTCAGATATCTTTTACAGCTTCACGCCTTTCAATCTTCTCAAAAACTGGCTCTTTCAGCTGCATCATCTCTCATCCGACGTTGGAGAATTCTCGGAAACTGCACTTGCTCTGTGTGAGAGCTTAAATGGTTTAACAGTTGGGCCATTCACAGTTGAATATGGTCCGCTGCCCCCACTAAAGCCGAAGGCATTTTCTCTCCGTGCGCCAACTTGCATTTCAAACTTTTATCGGATAGCAAGGTAGTGTTTATCTTACGGACTGGCAAGCTTTATTCAGTTCCTTTTTAGAGGTCTACTTATCAACAAGCCAATTTTATTGGAAGGATCCCCCGGTTGCGGGAAGTCGAGCACAGTGTTAGCACTGGCACAACTGACTGGACATCCAATAACAAGGCTGAATCTATCGGATCAAACGGTAGTGCTACTGTCAAAAATTGTTTTGTTTCTTTGCTAGGCAACCTCCCATCATCAAACTACCAAACTACCGTATCTTTCTAAAGTATCAAAAGATCTCCACTCTCTCGCAAATTGCAGCTTGCCATAGCCCTCTGGGCAAATTAGGCGGAGCTTAAGAATGTCCTCTCTTTATGGCCTAGGAATTCAAGGAAGAACTTTTAAAGGTCCCTGTATTCACAACATTTTTTCCAGGATCTGTCCGATCTGTTTGGCAGCGACGTGCCGATGGTTACAGATGATGGGAGCATCTCCTTCTGCTGGAGTGATGGTCCAGTTTTACGAGCCATAAAGAGAGGAGAATGGGTATTGCTCGATGAGGTACCGAATAAACTTTTAGCATAGTGAGAGCATTGAGATTTCAACGCTTTTCCAGATGAACCTTGCATCACAATCGGTTTTGGAAGGTCTCAATGCATGCTTCGATCACAGAAGAGTTTTGTACATAGCCGAGTTGAATCGTTCGTTTGAGATTCCACCGGGTAGTAACTGCCGCTTCTTCGCTTGCCAGAATCCGAGAATGCAAGGAGGAAATCGGCGAGCCCTTCCAAAGTCTTTCGTCAATCGCTTTACAAATGTAAGTTATAGATTGCTCCTTTTGACTTGAAAGGCGTTTTTTATTTTATGTCCACGGTGTTATATCCGAGACTTTGACTATGAGCAGAACACAAGAGCTATTTACTTTGTTCACAAAAGTTACCAAGCTTATTGTCAAACTTGTAAAGCCGTCTCATGAATAGAAAAAAGAACAAACAGGGGCCTCAAAGTTCACCTTTTAGATCTACATCGAGGACCTCACAGAAGAAGATATCTTATTTATCTTGAAAGAACAACCAGCAGCCGCGCAACTTGATGACGACCACCTTCGAGCAATGGTGAACATCACAATGCGTTTGGCATCACAACAAAATCTCGTCGGTGGTCCCTTCTCCTTCAACCTCAG